GAACGATGAATTGAATCTACAATTGCTAAACTTATGAAAAAATGTCTTACTCAAATAAAATATCTAATGAATATATAATTGCATTAAGCTATTTTGTGGTAGAGGAAAAAATTGCAGACATTATTTTGGCGGATAATTTCGACCTGTCGGCTAAAATCGACCACATGGTCAGCTAATATCGATCGGGTATTTTTACAAGATATTTATTAAAAACGAATGTAAAGAATATTTTTTATTTTGAAAAAAGGAAACTGAAAATAATTAACATTTGTTGCAAATATAGCCTTGCGCCTTCTCAACGTCGGTACAATCACCGTGAACCCAACGTGAGCGACATCTCCACCATAATTCATTGTTTCTTCCAAAATCATCTTCTGTTGTTGACCTAGACACCGCTTAACCCTCATCGCGGGCTTTTTCTTCATGTTCCTTCTTTTCCAGTTCTTCTTTAACTGGCGTTGAAGTCAGAATAACGGAATGTTGCATTCTACTAGTGTTACTTCTAGTTTTCACTGTCGGTAATGGTAAAAGATCTATAAAACTTGCGTTTTCTTTCTTAGGTTGAACAGTCTTGTCTTCCTCATCAGTCTAAAACTTCTTCTAAACCTAATTCTGAGGAAGATTCTGATTCTGGCGACTTTCGACGACATTTAAGTTTAAAAAGAAACTCTCGTGAATTTAGTTCAGGGATAGAAAAAGGTGTTCTGTCCAAATTTTTGACTGGCTGAGCATTATTACTGCTTTGTGTGTCAGCAGCCGATGTAGGATGCGTCGTACAAGAACAAAACGATTGAAAGGGAATATCCCGATCACCTGGAAAGCCTTCACTCCTTTCTCCACCGTTGCTACTTTATTATAAGCATTCCTGAATAATTCTGCGATATCGGTTTACAAAATTTTTTCGTGTTGCTTGGCTTTTATATACCTATCACATTCTTGCCCATAGGCAATCTTTAGTGGGCCAAAAAAACAAACGTCTAAAGGCTGAAGTTTGTGTGATGTGTGGGGTAGAACTGAAACAACCTTAATGCCGTTATCTCTGCAGAAATTGTGATAAAAATAACCATTTCATAGTTCATCGAGAAAAACATAACCATAAAATTTTGACAGAGAAATTTTTGTTGGTAGAAATTTTATTTAAAACCGTTTAGTTTGCTTCCAGAGGTATCAATTAAATTAGTTCAGCTCCTAAAGCACATTTTTCATCCATCCTTTGATGTTTTAACGTTATTTTGAAGAAGAAATCGTTGATTTAAAATTGAATTTTTCTAACTTTACTCATTGATGGAATTTGGCGTGTACTCCAATGTATATCTGAAAACAAGAAAAGACAACGATAAATACGAAGTTTTATTACGATTCATAAAGGAATAAGAGAGAAATTTGCGGAAAAAGGATTTAATTTTGAAGGTTAGTTCCAAGAAAATCCGAGAGATGACGCTAATTTCGACGCAAAAATTTTAAATTTTGGAAAAGGCGCGAACCTAAGAACCAATCAGAAACGAGGAAGAAACAGGAGGGGAGCCGAGTATAAAAGGAAATTGCAAGCAAACAGGAGACAGTCGTCATCTGACCGGCAATAAATTCATGTCGGTTGACAGAAAAAAAAAATAACCTCAAAATTATAAAATAATTGAATTATCCTCAAACCTTATCCGAGAACTCCTGAAACATCTTCGAAGTCATCCAAATCCGAAGGACAAGCAGTCCACTCATCCGTCAGAAGAATCCCGAATAATCCGAAAGAGAGACCTGAAATTACGAGGAATCCAGAAAACTAGCTCGAACTCCGAAACCAAGAGAACAATCCATTATCCTGTTATCACATTTAATCCAAACCCTTTTTCTTCGCAGTGAGTCGGTTGATAATTTATTTTTTTTTTTATTTAACATAACCTATAAAAGAAAAATTAACCAATTAAACTCAAAAGATAACTCACAAGAGTCTCCTTTATAATTCATTATCAATACTTGTGGGTAAAGATTTTTCAGTTTTTCTTGTGTAACGTTCACTTTCTTTTAACGATTTCAATTTAAAACGTTAACCATTTTTATTTCAAGGACGGATATAACGAGTTTTCTACCCCGTTCTCTCTCAAAAAGATAAAAAATAAACGTGTTCTCTCTCAGATCGATTTTTCAGTCGATAATTGTAGTTTTCTGTTTTTATTTAAAAGTTTTACCTATCGTCGATAGAAATTTAATTTAAATCCAAAAGAAATTTATTTTTTTTTGACTGAAGTTGCCCGAAACCCTGAGTTTAATTAGAGTTAAAACTATTATTATTGTAATTAATTAAATTAAAGAAAACCTTATTTTTTTGAAAAACCGAACATTGTAGTTTTACTTCAATTAATCAAAGTCACCACACATACAAGTGGGACACATACAGTAAAACATTACAGTACCTAAGTTTAAATGAGTAACATGATTGTCCAAAACTAATAAAACTGGATCTTCCTTGGTAGGTTTTGTGAACTTAGCAAAATGATCCATTCAGTGAAAAGACATTCCGTGATCCATCCAGACTTAGAACATCGGTAAATAGCGCTTGCTGGTCCATTTTTTTCATTCTCTCCCTTTTGAATATAAACATTGGGGGGGTGTAGAAGCCAGCAGCGCTCATTGCGATAGCGACAGTCACTAACTGACCTCTTCTGCCCACATTACTTATCCCTGATTCATCAACATTAAAAATACGATGAGCTTCAAATTTATGTTGGCTGGTACAGTTTTTATAAATTATCTTAAAAAATAATCACCTTTCTTGTTGAACGCTAAAATGCGGTTTAGACTGGTAGCCTCTGGTCTCTGATAGGTTAAAGTTGGATTTCTCTCCATGAAGGAGTAGAGCCAATCTTTTCCACATATACGTTTCTGTTTGTTGAAATTGTGTTTGAGCTTATTTGCCTCTGCAAACTCGTAGGCGAGTTCTCGGATTGATTTAGCAGTTAATCCATAAAATACTTTAGAAAGACTTGCTAGCTCTGGCTCTTGCTCTACACTAAAGACGGGTTTTCTTCCTAATTTGTACTTATTTACAGAAAAACGACCTCTTAAGCGATCTTGCAAGGTTCCGTAAGGCACATCAAACATTTGTGCAGATTTTCGTATTGATAAGGTTTTTGACAAATTCTTTGACATGTTCTCTTCCGACCTTGCAGAACGTGTGCTTTTCTGAATATATTTTAAACTTGACATCTGTAGAAAAGGAATGCCATTAGTAATAATATCGACCACAGTAGAGAAATATCGACCCCTCTAGTCCATATTAATCTACCGGCGGTTAATACACATTTTGTTCATTCGCACAGAATTATGTTAGGAAATAATTAGTATTCCATTGTAAAATTAAAGTTATTATTGCGTAAGTACACTGTACTACAAAAACTAAACTCACGCTAAAAAGATATTCGCCTTCTTTCTCCTAATTAGCAAAGCAAAAATTTTTTTATTTTATTCTACCAAAAGAAGACATCTCTATATCTTCCATTGAAACCCAACAAAAAAAAAACTTGTATAATCAGAATCCTTAACGCCTACAAAGCCATTAAAGTGTAACTACCGTAGCATTAACGTTCCCAAGCTCGTCGTCGCAAACGAGGACCGTTCCCTAGACAATGGGCGTTGAATAAAACTATATGCAACGCGCGCCTTGTGAATCGTTTGCTGAAGACGATTGAGCATCATGACAAATCGAGCCTTTTGCACAACGCCATGTATCGGCTCGTAAAAACCGGCGCCGGAGATGGATACCGGCATTAAGCCAGGAGTCATTCTTCTCCCATAGACCCTCTTACAATACGACCGGTTGGAAAAGCGATTTGACTTTGAAAGCGACGTCGCCATGCAAGAACACCATACCGCCAGAATGCGAGAACACATCCACACGAACCGTTCCAGCAACGTTCCTGACGGCTCCCTCGTTAACGTCGCATTGTCTATCGGTATAATTAAGCGGCAGAGTTTATGCTCAGTATGATCCCAGCGTATTTTAACATTGAATTAGAAAAAAAAAATAAATTCCATGCATTATCGCGTATATCACCCACATGTTGCCGCTTGTACTAGGAAGCTTATGTCAATTTTGAATAAAACCAATCGTTAGATTCATGTTAGTTACGGCGTAACCGATATGCGTTAACTTATGCATAACTAATGAACAGATTTCATGTAACATAAGGATAAAGTTAAGGTTAAAGCAACACGTAGATGCGCTTGTAATTCGTTATGCAAAGCGAAACAGATTGTATCTAATAAGATCGATTCGACCGGTACTAACAAGTTAAAGTGATTAAGCACGAATTCGATTCCAAATATATACCTACAGGTCAAATTCCTCTTTTTAATTAAGTTTAATGTGGAGACTGAAATTTTTTTGGCAATGACCATATTTAGATTATGTCGATGAAATAGCTTTAATGAGATGTAAAAAAAACTTCGCTCGTTTAATTTTTAAAAAAACTTAATGAAATAAAAAAAAGATAATGAAGCTCATAAGGAATACATCATAAGCTCAGAAATTATTGCTACTTTTATTGTAATTAGTATAATATATTGAACTAACACTAATTTTCTTCAGAAACAAGTTCGAAGTGTTCAAAACAAATAACTACTTGGCGATGAATAACAACTAAAATTAGAACTAACACTATATCTAGAATATTTATAGACGGCTAAACCCAAATGTTTCTAGTTCTGCCTTAACTACCAAAATATTCAGGAAAATGTAACTGTTCTAGCAGCATCCGGTTCCATGGTAAATTTAATCAATGGGTGTTGCAAGTTTAAGTGAATTTCTAGAGATCCAGAAGAACCAGAATATCCTATAGTTTTTATTGATTCCACAAAATGCGTAGAATCTCTAACATATTATTTTGTTTCAATTACAAAATGATACAGAACCTTGACAAGGAGTTACACCAACTGGTACGTTAGAGGAGTTATGGCACTGACAATGCTAATAGAACCATGATAAAAATATACAGGGTGATTTATTAACCCAACAACAAAACTTGAAAAAAGAAAACCAAACCAAATAAAAAAAAAAAATGTTAATGAACATATTATGTCCTATTTAAATTATTTACGAAATTATAACACTTTAAAGTTTTAATTTTTATATCATAATTAACTGCAACATTTTTTTAAACACATAAATATTACAAATATTGTTCAAAATAGCCTCCTTCTGCTAGAATACATGCTTCAAAACGACGAATTAAAGAGTTCTTCAGCCGAATTAAAATATCTGGTTGATTTCTTATTTCAGTAGTAGCCATTTGTATTCTGTTTAATAACTGTTCTCGTGTATTAATTTCCACTTGATACACAATTTGTTTGATTTGACCCCATAAGTAAAAATCCAATGGATTAAGGTCGAGGGATGTAGGTGGCCAAGCAAATGGACCATTATTACCAATCCACTTGTTTGGAAAATATTGTTTTAATTAACTCTTCTGCGATGAGGTGGGGCACCATCGTGCTGGTGCCACATATTTTGAATTACATTAAGAGGTATATCTTCAAGTAAATCAAAAAATGTATTGTTCAAAAAAATCTGTGATTTACAACGTTGAAACGTCCATCAAGTACATGCAAACCTAGTAAATTGTTGTCAAATATTCCACCACAAACGTTGATGCTGAAACGTTGTTGAAATTTCCTTGGTCTAATCGCATACGGATTTTGTAATGCCCAGATATGTTCATTATGGTAATTCTTTATACCATCTCGTGTAAAACATGATTCATCTATCCAGAGAGCATTTGAAATGAAGTCATTATTTTGGGCATGTTGCTGCAATAACTAAAAACTGAATGATATGGCATATGATGCTGTGGAAATCTTTCTTGATATTCTCATACTGATTGTCGAACATTTCCATTGCAAAAACCATACACGAAGATTATATCAGCATACTCTTCAGTGCTATAAGCGTACATTTTGAGTTTCTTCTTGTATGTAATAATTAAACCTTACAACAAACTGACATATTACAATGACAACTTTGTTTTTGTTGAATGTTTGATTTTACTGACTATTAATAAATAGGACATAAATATGTTCATTAAAATTTTTTTATGGTAATTGGATTAGCTATCATATGTCAAAGTTTGATGGTGGGCTAATAAATGATGGTGGGCTAATCACCCTGTATATTGAACTAACATTAACTTTCTTCAGAAACAAGTTCAATGTGTTCAGAGGCGCTAAATAACAACAAAAATTAGAACTAACACTACACCTAGAAGATTTAGTCGTGCGTCTCTTATAGACAGCTAAACCCGAATGTTTCTAGATCTGCCTTAACTACCAAAACATCTAGGAAATGTAGGTGTTCTAGCAACATCCGGTTCCGTGCTAAATTTGGTGTTGCGAATTTGGGTATTGCGAATTCAGATGATTAGGAACTTCTGGAGTTCCAGAATGTCCTAAGTATCTAACTTCATACTTTTGATTGATTCCACACAATGCGTAGAATCTGTGACATATGATTTTGTTTTACTTATAAAAGAAGAACCTTGACAAGGAGTTTCACTAACTGGTATGTTAAAAGAATTATAGCAATGACAATGCTAGTAGAACGATGATATCTGTTTTTTCTTTCTGTGATCGTCGGCGAGTGTCGAACACTAGAACTAATAGTAGACCTAGAAATAGAAGCATTTGGGTTTAGCCGTCTTTAGAGACGTACGGCTAAACCCAAATGTTTCTAGTTCTAGGTCTAATGTTAGTTTTAGTGACAGTGTAAGTGTAAAAATAGAACTAACACTATACCTCGAACTAGAATCATTCGGATTTAGCCGTCTTAAGAGACGTCCGGCTAAATCCGAATGTTTCTAATTCTAGATCTAGTGCTACTTCTACTTTTATTTCAGTAAAAATAGACAACAATTTAGCGTTTAATAACAATTAAAACTACAACTAACACTAGATCTAGAACTAGAAACATTCGGGTTTAGCCATATTGAGAACAAGAAACAACTGATACAACCAGAAACAACTCTGATAACTCAGACTTATCATAAAAACGTCACCGTTACCTTCGCAAAACTACCAAATGCTTGTACTATTAAGTTATCTTGCATTTTATGTTGGACAGTTATATCAAATTCCCAATAAACCTATATCTAATAAAAAAAGTTTGGTTTAAACATTTCTAAAATGATTTAATTTTAATTTTAGAAATAACAACACCAATATGCGCAGTATCCGGAGCAAAATTTTTAGCAACAAACGGTTGGATCGACTTAAGAAATCCATCGGATACAGATGTTCCATTTCGATTGTATCGAGACGAAGGCAGAACGTTCCTACAGGTAGGTAGCAGCTTAACGAAAGCTTATCCAAACCAGTTTATAACAATTACGCCGTTCCCGCTCAATCAATCTTCTTCGTTTCATAACTAGTAATCGTTATCAACAACCTGCAACCCGCCAAGTGAAAACCGCAAACGGTACCCTCTATGGTACCGTTCGATTGTGTCTGATTCGATAAATAAATTGCAGCGGCATAAATCAGTATCTGCTTCCAGGTACCATTAATCAATGAATACAAAATCGACAAGTTGCAACCATTAATCGAACAGATTTTACCGACATCGAAAGTTACGCATTCAATTTGTCTAGATTATAAAATTAATTTTTGCGTTGTTTCAGTGGGAAGGTGAACCAGTTCTTAGAAATAGAATCGGTGGCCGTTTAGTTCTGGTGTATTTGATGTGCAGAGAATTAAATTCCTTAAAGAATCAAGATAATAATGGTAATATAGAAGGAGAAGTTTTTGCTAGATGTGTCTCATTTAGAGTGGCTGGAAAACCTTTAAAATACACGAGTAGTAAGTTAACAACAAAATTCTTTCTTAATTTAATAACTTAATAAGTGGTGTTTAATCCATTTATTTTTGATATTAGATATTAGTGAAGTTGTATTTTCACCAAACATTCAATCATCAGAGAATTCAGATGGAACGGGTTTGAGCGTCTCAGAAATAGTAGCGATAGGTGTATGTTCGGTTCTTCTTGGATTAATTTATGTGGCATCGGTTTTTTTATATCTCCATATAAGAAAGCGAAGGAAGGATGCCGAAAAAAAATTGGATGTTCGAGAAAATTCAACGATAACAAACGTAGAGGAAGGAATTGTTAAAAATAATCCTTTGTTAGGTTTAGGAAGACACTTTGTGGCGCCTGAAACAACATACAGCGATACTACGGAATCAGATACTGAAGTAACGCCGGATATTTTACAGAACCACGAAGACAGAAAGAAAAATGTAAGTATAAAAGAATTAACCCTTTACTTTCATATGACCCTTGTTACGTAACGGAAATTTAACTCCCGGTAACATTCGTTTTTCTCCCGTTTCAGCGATCCTAATTAAAGGTTACGAGTCTCTGTGCTCACGGTAATATATTATCGGGCGGAACGAAATTTGTAAAAATTGAAAGAAAAAAGTATTTACGAGACGCGATTGTCGAATGGTAAAGAAGAGAAAGGTGCTTTAATCGGTCGCGTTCATCTAAAGGCGGTCCGATTCACGTCCTATTACGGTTATAAATCAAAATTAATGGGAGATTTAAAATCATTTTAACAGTATCGTCGTCGTTTTTATTATAAGGCGCTAAATGAACGCGTAATAGCTGCATTTTTCTACCCAACCTTAAGTTAATTACTTAAAAAGAACTCGTTTATTTACACATCCATTGTCAGCTTCTTAATACCCTATACTTATCTTCTTATTTTTCTTTCAATGCCATATCGCGGGAGGTATTTGATTTCCCTCCTAGGGGTACATTTTAATTGAGTATCAAACATTTTTGTTAGTTACAGATTACATCTGCTTTAGTTCATTCATACCGACACGAAGTCATTAATCCGTACTCTTCCCTTCATACTTTGGAATCTTATCATCAAGATTCTTCTTCAATTGAAAGACTGCCAGAAGAAAATGTTTCTATTGTTGAAACTTTAGAAGCTCGTGAAGATCGGCCGGATAATGTTAAAGCTATTGGAACGACAAGAAAAAAGTTGTATTTTAATCCAGCTTATTTTGATCCTCATTTACTTCAGGTAATATTTTGTGTTAATATTTTGGAAGATAAATAAACGCGCTTGTATAATTTTTAGACCCCTCCACCGGCTGCAATAGAATTTTTAACAAAAATCAGAGAAGTTATTACAATTGCAAAACAAAAAATGTCCGCAAAGAGATTTACGCCGAATTTGCTGGGAATCCCGGAGGAAGATAATTTTTACTCAATAGAAACATCAAATGAATACCCTCACAGTTTGAACAGCCGAAGAGGCAGTTTAATCAGCTTAAAAAGAGAAAATAGCCGAAGAAAAACGTGCGCCGGATGCCCAGATTGTCAACCGAGAGATTTTCGCTCTTTATGCGGCAAATTACCAGAATACCCTTCAATTGTTGCTTGTGAAAGTTGTTCGGGATCATCGGAAAGTAAACAAAATAGTATCAGGAAGTGGTTGGAGGATATCCCTACATTAAAAATCGATAACAATGAAGATATCTCAAAATCAGTGCAATCCTTGCCGATTATTTCCTCTCCGAAGCGAATTAGATCACCAACAAGATCGCTACCAACCCCAATTTCAATAAATAATTCCGTTAAATCTCCCTGCTCCGAAAGAAAATCCCCGAAATCGACGACATCATCACAAAATTCAAGCAATTCCGGAAAAATCAAAATAATGCGAAAACCTATCATAAAACCAAAAGCACCTCCACCACCTTTACCGATTTACGCGCAAGAAAATCAATACGACACAATAAAAAATGTTGAAAAGAAAGATAATTTACCACCCCCCGATATGATACACGAAGCTTTAACAGTCGAAGAAGAAACGAGAATTCCAACGATAACAAAAAAGAAAATGAACGCTGTCATAAACGAATTTTTAACAAAAAGTTTAGAAACGAATTCAGATATTTCTAAAAATCCGATCGATTACGAAACTGATAGTTTGGAGAGGTCATCAAGAAACAAAGGATTTAGCACGCCCACCGAATACGGCGACGTTTCTTCGTCTCATCCAAGTCCGAGTTTAAGTGCAGCTTTACCGATGGACGAAGAAATGACAATGCAAAATGCAATCATTAACACAAAAACAGGCGCAATGACTATCTCTAAATTAAACATGAATCTGATTAAAAACGAAGAAGAAAATGATTACGAATTGATTGTGCTCAAAAAAGGTGACATTTACAACCTCCCCGAATTATTACAAAGAGGTAATCTAGTAAGTGAGGTTTATGTTAATAACGGTTATAATTATGGAAGCGCGGAGTCATCAATAAGCTCAAATTGTTCAACATTAGAAAGTAAACCCCCTAAAGTTAGATACGAAAATAACAAACCAGGACATCTTTTAATCGAGGTCGAAGATTGCGCCGATAATTACATAAGAGTAGAAGATTCCGACGAATTTGAAGCTGATACTTTAGATAGAAAATCAAATAAATTATCTTCATTACAAAAAGAAATTAAAATAGACAACGATGACTATATCGACTCCTTAGAAAGACCTAAACAATTTCAATTAAAATCAAAGGGAAGTTTCAAAAACGATAGCTTAATCTCAATTGATATAAACGAAGGGATAATAATGACTAATTTTAATCGATCTTTTGGGAGTTTAAGGGAAATTTATGAGGCTAAAACCAAAAAAAATCCCGACGAAAACGATATCAATAATTGGAAAGACTTAATTGGGGATGATTTTGAAGGAAGAATTTTAACCTTAGAAGAGCGACACTCAAAAAGACAAAGAAAAAAAGATATTGAAATTGTTAATGATGTCCCACCGGATGTGATACCACCGATTAATAACGATTATTCATCCCCTATTTATGAGCATCCAAAACCACCGAGAAAAGTGATAAGAAATAATAGCGTAAAACCACCTCTTCCTCCAAAAACGGTTTTGAAACGAAAAGAAATCGAACCTAATTATGTAACGCCGATTAAACAAAACGAAAATATTGGTAATAAAATAAACATTGAAGAGGAACACAAAGAAAAAAATAACACCAATAACATTAAAGATAACAGTATTCTTGAGAATTTGATGCAAAATGATAATATTTTTTTAAAAAACGGGTTAAATAACCAATTTATACTACAAGCTCAAACTTTCACAAACGTTCCAAATTTAGACGTTTTTAATATTCCAAGTCCAACATGGAAATTTAAAAATTCTTTACGTAAATATTTTCAAAAACCCGAAGATTCCGGTTATTTAAGTAACGATTCCGATGAACAAAAAAAACAGAAATTGCTTCAATCGGAAAGTGAAGGTAGCGCAGGAGCAGGAAGTGAAACCGACGAAAGTTTCGGCGATGGCCAAAGTGAATCCGGCGCCGAAAGTATCGAGACGCATTCGGTTTTCTTTGATAGCTTTCGTAAACCGGCTTGTTTTACCGGATCTTTAGATAGCGGAGTTGATACCGACGTTAAAATGAATTCGTTTACGAATTTAATGATTGATGATGCTGCAAGTACCGACTCGGAAAATATGAGTTTTAAAACGGTTGTAAATGGAAGAAGAGGATGAATTAATTTTCTTTTTTGAGTGCTAAGATTTACTTGCTCGTACTGCCAATATAGGAGAGAGTGTGAGTATTAAAAAGGGTTTCGATCTTTTTCTGAAATCGTTGATTAACTGAATATTAATAGTTTAAAATGGGATAAAAAATGTTTTAAAATAAAGCTTTGTTACAGAAATTTGTATATCAATAGCTTAAAGGTTTTGCCTAACTGTAAATGCTTTACTATACTTTATTTTTTAATTCGGAGAATTATTGAAGCGCCAAAAAGACGGGTTGCTATTAGTCAGTTTTAAGCAAAAATTACACTAGGAAAATTTGAGATCGGGTTTAGCCGCACGTCTCTCAGTATGGCTTAACCCGAATGATTCTAGTTCTAGGTCTTGTATTAGTTCTAGTGATAGTGTAAAACTAGAACTAACACTATAGTCGAGCCGTCGAATTTGTGCAGTGGTAAATCACCGTGACAGGTACTTACAAAAAAAGGGGTAGTCGGTTCCTTCGTTATGTAACCGCCTACTCCCACCAGGGTCTATAAGGCGCAGCTACACTATACGAGAATAAACCTTCCTTTACAGTCAGATAAGAAGTTATGAATACCGTTCACAGTGCGTCGGCGGCTTTTATTATTTTTTGTCTCCAGTAACGCGCTCAGTGCGCTACCCCCAGAAGGGGTGTGGTCACTTGTTTTGACGAATCCGGACAGGGCGACCGACTATGTAAGAAATTTACCTACTTGTCACGGTGATTTATCACTGCACAAATTCGACGGCTCGACTATAGTTT